GCACATGAGATTCTACACCGCAGTTGAGTATGTACATACAAAATTTGATTGATTATTTGATGTGTCTTAGAGTTCTTAAGAAGATTCAGCCGAAAAAATGATGTTAATACATTTGAGTAATAACTGACTATGAAAAAAGCATTTTCTTTTTTCTCATATCAATAAAATCCAACGGAGTGCATATTTAGCTGTTTTTCTTTAGTAGAACCAAGTATAATTTTGTAGTTATAATGATGGGGAAAGATAATAATTCTGAGTGATGATATGTATGTATATGAACTGAATTCATAAGAGTAAAATAAGTATATTAACTGAGTTTTTAAAGTTTTTCTAATACTGCAGTTTTATCTTTTATTAATATAAGAATACATACATATGTACATGTATAAGAGAATTTAACGAAACTAGTAAGTTTGTAAATAATATGGACGTAAATAACGCCGGCAATAAGCAACGCCATCTGTATAGTCATACTACCAAATGTTCTCTATAAGTTCGTAATTGGTATTGGTAACATCGTCAGAGGTGTAAGATGGCGGTCGATGAAGTAAACTTACGAAACTGTGTCTCATTAAAATACGTTTGTGCATTTGTCAGCTATTGAATATTATTAGTCGATAGCTAGAATACATATTTACATGACATCTGTTGTGATTCACTAGTAACTGGAGTGTGTCTTTCGTAAAATTGCGGCAGAAAGCTTTCTTCAAGTCACAGGCTTAAAATGTCAGTAACTGCCTCAAAACCATGCCACGAGGAAGAAAATTCGAAGTTGACAGAGGAGGATGATTGGAAAATACAATTAGCGTTTTGCAAACCACGTCATACGGCAACGATTGAGGGTGTCAATTGTATTACACAAACATGGAGAATGAAAGAACGGGTTCGTTTTTTCCTCATCTTGATCGCCTCGATGGTTGCATCTCAGAAAACTACGTATTTAACTCGACGCGGTGGTTTCCTGAATTGATGTTTTTTTTAGATGAAAACTGTGAGCGTGGCTCTAGTTTTGTGCTTAAACGTTGGTGTCGATCCTCCAGATATCGTCAAGACGCAACCATGCGCTCGCCTGGAGTGTTGGATAGGTATTTATTCTGGTTTATTTACATTTTAGTTACCGCTGCCATTGCCATTATGTAATACAACTTTAAGGTTATGCATACGAATGACAACAGTTCCCAAATGAATGTCATTCCGATTGATTACTGCTAGGTGGCGTTCAAATGATTATTAATGAAAATTTATAGTATTTTATGATTGCTTTCTACTTAATTTCTAAGTTACTTATTAGTTTCTTAACCATATTTATGCGACATTATTTATTTATATATCTTTTTGAAAAACAAAGATTTACTGAATTTTATAAAATATATATCAATTATATATAAAAATACTATTTTATTACGAA